AGCCATCCCTGGGTGTATGATCCTTTTAATGTATTATTGTTTTCGATTTGCTAGCATTTTGTTGAGGATTTTGCATTGATGTTCATCAGTGGCCTGTAATTTTCTTTTTTTGCGCAGTCCTTGTCTGATTTTTCTATCAGGATAATGTTGGCCTCATAGAGTGAGTTAGGAAGCTTCCCTTTCTCTTCAATTTTTGAAAGTTTGAGAAGGATAGGTGTTGAGTCTTCTTTGAATGTTTGGTAGAATTCACCAGGGAAGCCAGGAAGGACTAACGTTGATTGAGCACCCACTAGTATGTTGTAGATATTGTATATACCTTCTCATTTAAATCTCATATCTTTCTGAGATAGATATCTTTCTGAGACTTAAATCTCATATCTTTATGAGATATTCTTTTTTTGCAAATTAGAAAACTGAGATTAAGTGACATATTCAAGGTCACATATCTAGGTAAGTCTTGAAACTGGTATTCAAACCCAGCCTCTCTTTCTCTCTAGTCTTGCTGTTCTCTTAATACAGTGAATGTAATTTAAGATGATTTTTTATCAATTCATTATTATGTTATGATGAAGATGGAACTAGAAATTGCATAGCACTTAAGATTTAAAAGACACTGAATCTTACTTTCTTGAAAAAGTGTTTCATTTTTCCTTTCTTTTTTTTCTCCTTTATTTACATGGCTTTATGAGATATATAAACTTGAGTACCTTTTTAAAATATTAGTGAGTAAACCATCCTTCTTTGGGTCTTTCTGATCCTTCAGTGAATCATTGTCACTTCTGTTATTTCCATGCTTTTTGCCTTGTTTGCATCTTTCTTTTTAATAGTATTTTATTTATTTATTTATTTGGTGAGGAAGATTGGCCCTGAGCTAACATCTGTTGCCAGTCTTCCTCTTTTTGCTTAAGACGGATTATCACTGAGCTGACATCTGTGCCAGCCGTCCTCTGTTTTGTATCTGGGATGCTGCCTCAGCATGGCTTGATGAATGGTGTCTAGGTCTGTGTATAGGATCCAAACCAGCAAACCCCGGGCTGCTGAAGTAGAGCGCACTGACTTAACCACTACATCACCGGGCTGGCCCCCTTGTTTGCGTGTTTTAACAACCTTGTTTGTGATTTTCAAATTGTTGACTTAATGGACTATAGATTTTTTGGTAGCATTCTCTTTATGGTAGCTGGTCTCCAAAGATGGTCCAATCACATCTTGTGTTGTCTCTTTTCTTATTGAATCTGGGCTGGCCTGTACCTCACATTAACCAATAGAATGAGTTGAAATGAGGCTTATCAATACTAACCCCAGCCATGAAGAGGCAACTTCTACTTGCTCTGTTTTGGAGCTCTGAACTGTCGTGTAACTAGTTTAGGTACTGCGCAGGAGAACTCGCATGGGGAGGCCACATGAAGAAGAAAGGAGAGAAGAGGGCAGCCAACTCAGGGTCTCAGTGAGCCTCTCCATGTGATTTCCACTACCTTAGAGACTCCAAGCAAGACCAGCAGGAGAGCTGTCCGCTGAGCCGAGCCAAACCACACGACTGTCAGATAGAAGAAAAGTATTACGTTTTGGAGTGGAATAGATAACTGAGACACTGTCTTAGTTCATCTCTTAAAATTCTTTTTCTTTTGTTAATTGAGGGAAAATTAGCATAAAGTGAAATGAACAGATCTTAAGTGTGCAGTTTTCAGTGTGTGACACATGTATACACTTGTGAAACTAATGATCTAATCAATGTATAGAAAATTTCCCTCCCCCTGGAAACTTCCCTCAAGCTTCCTTCTGGTCAGTGCTCACTCCTCATGCACAGTCACTGTCCTCTGTCAATTTATTGACTAGTTTGTTTGCCAAATTTACTTGCTTTTCTTATTTAGTGTTATTTACATAGTTTTCCTTTAGAAATCATAACATTTAATTTGTCTCCCTCCCACCTCCATGCCACTATGGTCAGAGATTTAGAGGTGGAAAGGCGGGGGCAAGTGAAGAACAGAATAAAAATATATTCTTGAGTATGAAGAATTCTGATGAATATATATTTTTTAATATGTATAAGAACTTATTCATAATAATACTTCGTATTCATGACTCTTTCCTATGCCCCAGGCTCTGTAATCCCATGCTTCTGTGGGTTTTGTATCCTTCATTTTTCCCTCTCTGTGCAGCATAGGGTCCTGGTTCAGCATCAGCAAGCTGGGGGCAGAGATAGTGGTACATTTCTTATAGTGCTTTTATAAGATAAAATGAAAACTGGTCAACTAAAACTAAATAATTAAAAACTAAATAATTAAAAGAAAAAAAACCATTCTGTGGATTAGTCAGTTGACATATTGGTCTGATTCAGCTTTGACATGCCTGTGGAAAAAGAGAGAAAAATGACCGGACCTTGTGAATCCTCTTACATACCTAGCTTCATGGAGGCGTAAAGGAAGTCAGCCTGTTATGAGGGGTTAGGCCTGCCAGGATCTGCATAGGAGACAGAAGACTGAGAGACTAAGCACCCCATGAATGGTGGTTCAACTTTAAAGCACTATACGTCTGTGCTCGTGCAAAATGTGGGCCCTTGCAGTACCTCAGGCTCTGACCAGTCAGATTCACAGCTTTTCTTGTGGAAGGACCAGTGACTGGTAAGGGGTAGGCAGGGAGTAAAGCAGAGGGGGAAAGAGAAAAGTTCCTTCTTAAAGGTGGTTTCTCTTTTTATGTGTGTGGGGAAGATTGGCCCTGAGCTAACATCTGTGCTTGTCTTCCTCTTTTTGTATGTGGGATGCTGCCACAGCATGGCTTGATGAGTAGTGTGTAGGTCTGTTCCAGGCATCTGAACCCGTGAACCCCTGGCTGCCAGAATGGAGCGTGTGAAGTTAACCACTACTCCACCAGACTGGCCCCTTGTTTCTTTAATTTTACTTTTTGGAAGATTTTATTTTTCCTTTTTCTCCCCCAAATCCCCTCGTACATAGTTGTATGTTTTTAGTTGTGGGTCCTTCTAGTTGTGGCATGTGGGATGCTGCCTCAGCATAGCCTGATGAGCAGTGCCATGTCCGCACCCAGGATCTGAACCGGTGAAACCCTGGGCCGCCAAAGCCGAGTGCACGAACTTAACCGCTCGTCCGTGGGGCCAGCCCCCTCCTTGTTTCTTTTTATTTGAAGTTCTTAGGATTTGCTTTGGAAATACTGCCTTTTGTAGGGAAGAGGTTGTTACTGTTTGGGGATTAATGTTGGTCTAGTGTGATAGTAATAATGTTTCTAAAGGAGAATGTCTCTGAGGTGCCTGGTTCCATGCCCTAGGTAAGTACTAATTTCCCATTGGAGTTCAGAGATGAGAGTCCAAGCCAGATGGGAAAAGGACAAAATGGCTTGAAAGTGTGTGTTTGAGAAGGAGGAGGAGGATTTAGCTGGGCTGATACTGGGGAGGACGTTTTTGTCATGGGCTGGTAAGAGCCAACAGCAAAGCCCACTTTGAGTATAGGTGAAAGGTAGTGAAAAAGATGACTGGAAAGGTAATTTCTATCATATTGTGGAAAGTCTGTAGTATCACTGTTAAGTTGATAATAAATCTGTTAAGTAATTAGTCATTGAGGATGGTTTTTGAGCAGAAGAGTTCCCTAACCAAAGCTGAGCCACAGGAAGATTAATTGGGCAGTGACGAGACGTGTGCCAGAGTGGGACAACTGAGGGCAGAGGGACCATTGTGAGCACTGTAGGGGCCCAGGTGACGCTTCGTGAGTCTGATGAGTGCATTTGACTTTCCGTGCTTTCTTTTTCACTACCAAATTCAGATGCTTGCATCATCTTTGTCATAAATAGACATTTTTATTTATTTGTTCTTTATATTTATTTGTATTAGAGTATTTTAGGAAACTATCGTTAAAATCACTCATTTTAGATTTTGTAACAACTCTGTTAAATATAACTGGCAGATAGTCTACTTAAGACTAGACTGAAATCTATTGACTCCCAATCAGATGCTTTCTATTTATATGCTCCTGCATTTTAGGAGCTGCTTTTAAGCCTGCATTAGCAGTCAGGAATTTCATATACTTGGAAATGTTCAGGGATGTAAGCGGCAAGTCTTTTCCCAGGAAATTGAGAGCCATTATTGGCATCATAAAAAGCCAAAAGGTTACTACCTTTTAGATATAGACAGTTTAGTAGGAAAAAAAGTGGTAGAATTAGAGTTTGCAACTAAAGTTGGGGATTTGGGATTGAGAAATGGAAAACTGAGATGAAGATGTCTGAAAGCTTTATATGCCCCTCTCAGAGATCCTCACTGGGCTGAAATGATGGGGTTCTAACAGAGTTCCCTGGGAGACTTCAGAGATCCACTTTGATCATAAGCACTTTTCCTTAAATTACTTTGTTGAAATTTTCAAATACTTTAAACCTTTTAATAAGCTAAAATGGAAGGAAATACAAGAAGATGGTAGGGGCCAGCCCAGTGGTGCAGCGGTTAAGTGTGCATGTCCTGCTTCTCTGCATCCTGTGGTTCGCTGGTTCGGATCCCAGATGCAGACATGGCACCACTTGGCAAAAGCCATGCTGTGGTAGGCGTCCCACATATAAAGTAGAGGAAGATGGGCACGGGTGTTAGCTCAGGGCCAGTCTTCCTCAGCAAAAAGAGGAGGATTGGCGGCAAATGTTTGCTCAGGGCTAATCTTCCTGAGGAAAAAAAAAAAAGAAAAAAAGAAGATGGTAGCACTTGTTGCCTTTGGGAAAAAGAGGTGGGTGTCCATAAGAACATACCATAACAACAGTGTGACCTGTTTGAAAGCAAATTAAAATTTTCTCTCATATCCTTTAAGTGGATAGAATGTGGTTAAAATACTGAAGTTTATTTTAAAGTAGCATAAGTGGCCTGTATTTTCAGTTCATTGTCCAAATATTTTGCTACTCTTACAAAAAATGCACATCCATATTTGAGAATTGATGATTTGAAATTAAAAGAAAATACTGCTAGACTTTTAGTTTGAAATCTTTTAATTGCAAAACTATTTTTATCTTTTCTTGTTTAGGTTGGGTGTTGAAAACAAAGACATATTTTAGTAGAAATTCCCCTGTATTACTGCTTGGAAAATGTTACCATTTTAAATATGAGGGTAAGTGCTAAGTTTGTAATCTATTTAAAAGTTTTTGTAGAAATTCATTGTGTAACTGTTTTCATTATCTTATTTTCAGATTAGTCTAATTTTGACATGTTTCTTTTTTTTTGCTTTCAGTTTTTTATTGTGGTAAAACATACATAACGTGAAATTTACCATCTTTATCATTTTTAAGTGTACAGTTCTGTGGGATTAAATACGTTCGTAATGTTGTGTTCCATCACCACCTTTCATCTCCAGAACTCTTCATCTTGCAGAACTGAAACTCTGTACCCGTTAAAAAACGACTCTCCATTCATCCCTTTTCCCCAGCCCCTGGCAACTGCCATTCTGCTTTTTATGCCTTTATTTTGGCATATTTCTTTTAAGAACCTGTATTTTATATAACACATAATATACTGCCATATGGTTTGGGTTTCTTGTGAACTCCTTGAGGATAAGGATCATGCCATCTTTTGTTATATCATATCCTCATAGTTACAGTATGAGTGCTAAGTAAATATTATTTGAATTGATATCTTAATATTCTTTATCAAGTTCTCTGATAACTTTAAAATATATGATAATAATTATAAGTATCACCTTAGTTAACCTAAAAATGGTAAATTTTCCAATTCTTAAGGATGCGCCAGTTTCTGAAATTACTGACTTTATTTGATGTTTCCAAATTTCCACGTATGCTTATACTTTCAATAATTATCGTCTATTTCCTTTTAATAATTTATTCCACTTACTGAGTGCCTACTATGTGTCAGGCATCATGCTAAGCTTTTTGGGAAATGTCTTTAATTTTCACAACAAACCTACAGAGTAGCTTCAGGTATCCCTATCTTATGAGTGTGAAAGCAGAATTTTAGAGAAATTTAATAATTTGTCCAAAGTCACACAGATATTAAATGGCAGAGCTGAAATTTAAACCACGATTGTGTGTAACTTTAATACTGACATTCTTTCTAGTATACATCTTTGCTTGGTTTTGTGTGTATGAGTGTGTGTGTTGTGTGTGTGTATGTATGTTTGTGTTTGTTAGAGAGAGGAAGAGAATGTGTATGAGAGTATGTGATTATCAGGCTTTTATTCATTTTTGGTTGACCTATTTTGATGAATTATTTATCAGCAATTTTCTGAAACCTTGTAAATAGCTTGTAATAATGACAGCTAACATTTATTGAGTACTTACAATATGCCAGGTAGCATTTTAAGTAATTTATATGTATTAACTTTGACACCTCACAACATTCTTGAAGGATGAGTAGGAAGTTGATGCATAAAGAGGGAATGCATTTTAGGTAGATGGAATGGCATGATGAAAGCAATGTCAGTGAGGTACTAGAGTGTGTATTTAGGAAACAGATGTCCAGTGTAGCTATGGTGGGGGAGAATTCTGAAAAAGATCAAATTATGGAGGAGCATCTTAAATGCTACGCTCAAGAGTTAGGTCACTAATTGTTTACAGGCGCAGCAGAGTATGGGCTTTGGGCTCAGACATATGTGGGTTTGAATTTTGGCCCTTTTTGCTTGTTATTTGTTACTTTGGGCAAGTTATTTAACCTCCCTAAGTATTAATAATACCTATTTCTTAGGTATTTAGTGGTGTACCTGGTACATATTTGCATTCTAAGTGATACTATTCATGATATAAGGAATTTGAGAAAAAGTTATTAGAATTCCTTTTAAGGATAGTATTAGATATTTTTTGGAAGAAGTACTTTGAACAGATCCTTGTAGTGGGCTCTTGGGGGTCCTCAACTCAAGAGATGAAAAATAGATGATATAGGAGATATGAATGAGCCAAACAGAAGACTTTTTTGTTTTAGACAAGGAGTGGGGATATAGGGAAGGAAAAAGGTGTGACGGTCGAGAGGGAGAGAGAAGAAAGAGCCAGAGGGTGATGACAAGCCGCATATCTGTTGAGAGATTTCCTTGTTAGATCCCCTGATGTTCAGTAAAGTCAGTTGAGCTCATGAAATGCTGATGTAGGAGGCGTTGTTTAGCAAAAGGGGATGACTGCTTGTCTGGTGCCTTCACCCTGAGCTTCTTTGCCGCAAACATCTTCACCACTTAACTAATTGGCCATGCGCAGTTTTACTATAAAAGATGACATAACTGGTTGATAGAACTGATTATTTCTACTGACTTGATGGAAAATACAGTGATAAAACTTACTGGAAGTGTGAAATAAGAGAGTGTAAAGCCAGATTGCACACGAGAAAATAACATACCAGTTTGCAAATCTTTGGTGAGAAGAGTCATCTCTCCCACCTGTCAAAACCAAAAGTTTACCAAGCTATGGCACATACAAAAGAGGCAGCTAGTCTTCGAGAGCATTAATTATTGATATTTTAGCTAATTTAGATACAACAGCTTGTTCTCTAATGCTGTCTTTACCAAATTTATCATGCAATATTAGTAGTTGGAGGCAGGGGCCGACCCCGTGGCCGAGTGGTTAAATTCGTGCGCTCCGCTTCGGCAGCCCAGGATTTCACCAGTTTGGATCCTGGGTGCAGACATGGCACTGCTCGTCAAGCCATGCTGAGGCGGCATCCCACATGCCACAACTAGAAGGACCCACAACTGAAAATGCACAACTATGTACCTGGGGCCTTTGGGAGAAAAAGGAAAACAAGAAAATCTTTAAAAAAATATATAATTTGGAGGCAAAAGAAGAATCAAATTCCTTCTCTTACCTCCCACCACCTCCAAAAAACAAATGGTTATATGATTCCTGATGAGTATAAGTTTCTTGAAATTGGTGAAAATATTTGCTATTTGATAGTAGAGAACATGATAAGGACAGAATTTGGCAGAGAATCTGGCCTAGATTTGGTGAAATATAACAATTGGACATGTGATGGAACATTTAACTGTAGTCCAGATATGTACTACATGTTTCATTATGTCTTTTTAATGTCCCTCTTTTATTTTCTATTTTATCTGTTACAGCAAACTTGCCTCATGGCCAATTAGTTATGTCGCAAAAATACTTGTGGCAAAGATGTCTACAGCAAAGATGCTTATGGTGTAGGTACCTAGAATCATGAATTTGGCATCTGAAATGAAAAAGACAACTCACATCATTGCAGAGCTATAAGCAGGGAGGACCGTGAGAGCTTAAGCTGTAGAGAATTAGCAGAACCCAGGGCTAGCTTTGGACTTCTTCACATCACAGAATTTTTGGTTCAAGCAAGTTTTCTAAGTTTTCAGAGAGATAGGAAGCGAGGTACCTAGCTGGCTTCTCAACTACAATGATTATTATTATCCTAGATTTTTGAGTGCAAAATGCCAAATTTCATTTAATTATTTTCAGTGATCATTGTATTGAGAACATGCTGGTTAGGACATTGATTGTGTCCAGAAGGAGCACATGATAATCATAACTAAATATATGCTTTAGAAAAATAACTGATAGCAGAGTGGAAGAATGATTGGAAGTCCATTAGCGGGCAAGATACGATGACTCTGATAGAGGGCAGTGGCAATGGAAAGGAGAGGATGGATTTGAGATGTTTTTAAGGTAAAATGAACAGCATCTGACAAATGATTGGATTGGGGGTCATGAGAGACAGAGAGGAGGTAACAGTGTGAAGAGTACTATCTTGGATGATAGGCAGTGTCAGTAACCAAATGTGGTGTACTACAGGAAGCATGGGTTTTTGCGGGGGGACATGTAGTGGTGGAAGTAGGCTGTTCAGAAATGAACAGTCTGAATGAAGTAGGCTGTTTAGAATTGATTTGTTAGTTATTTTCAAAGAGGTGGCATTTGAGGCCAATGGGTAAGGTCACACTGATGGAAAGTATAGGTGGGGAATGTCCATCTTTAAGGATATACTGAAGAAGAATCTGAATGAAACTGAGAAGGGATAGGCAATATATAGGACAAAACCCACGATAGCGTATTGTTGTAAAGACCAGAGATTTTCGGAAGAAAGGGTTGGATGAAGTGCCTAATGCCCAGAAGAGGTTGAGCAGGAAATTGCCTGAGTAGAGGCTGTAGGATTTTTTAGTGACAAGTTGCTGACAACTTTTGGAGGGCAGTTACACGAGGGCGGTAAGAATAGAAAAGTAAAAGCATAAAATTAATAGCAGCTAACTACATTTGCTGAGGGTAGATCTATGTTATGCATCAAAGCCAGACTGTATTGTTTTAATGAATTATTGGTTATGATGTTGGGGTAGAGAACTTCTTATATAAAAAACATAAACACACAGCCCATACAGGAGAACATTGACCAAATAAAAACTAAGGATATCTACATGACAAAAGACACCATGAAAAAAATTTAAAAGCAAGCCAGAGGGAACATTTTGTACATGTTCTCTCATTCTGTGTGTGTGTGTGTGTGTGTGTGTGTGTAGGTATATCTATCTGTGTGTGTTTACATGAAGATCTATTTATCTGTCCATCTGTCATTTCTGCATTTATATCTTAGACAAAAGATTAGTCTCCAAAATAATAAAGAACTACAAATTAATATGAAAAACGTGAACAACCAAGAAAAAATGAGTCACGAAAATGAACAGGTGCTTTTTAAATAGAAACCTGAATGGCCAGTGAAACATAAGAAAATACTCACCCTAAATTATTAGAGTGTAAATGAAAGGAGAGTGTAAATTAAAATGAAATACTATTTCTTAGTTATCAGATTTACAAAAATGTAAAGGTTTCATGATACCAAATGTTAGCAAGGATACGAAGAAATAGGAACTCAGATGCTGCTGAAGGGCATTAAATTAATAAAACCTCTTCATGAGAAATTTGAGAGTACTTAGAAAAATTGAAAGTATACACAACTTAGGACCCAGCAGTTCTGCTTGGAAGTGTTTACCCTAGAGAAGTTCTCTGTATGTGTGGAGAACATGTGTACAAGGGTGTTTATTGTAGCTTTGTTGAAATAACAAAAAATTGGAAACAATTTAAGTATTCACTAGTAGGGGATTAGATGCATAAGCTTTTCATTCATTCCACAAATGTTTACTGAGAGCCTGTTATGTGCCAG